ACATTCTGCGATTCTTGCTTTGACCTAGGAGAGAGAATATATGATTTGGTTGATAGACTGCCTCCTTTGGTGTTGGTGAATCGATTGTACAAATAGTGAATAAATTCACCGCTCTGTACTAGATTTCAATCCAGTAGAGGAAGTCTTGGCTAAATTATACGTTTGGTCACTCAAATAATATAAATCTTTCACGTTTGCCACCCGAATTATTTTTCTTTCTTATTCACCACTAATTTTAAGAATCATTTCACTGTTAGTCACTGTCGTTAGTCTCCGTCAGATTCCATTAAATTCATTCTAAGTGGAAGTCAACTATTATCTTTGACCGTTAAGTTGCTGACGGGTGACCTAGAAAAATATAAAATATTTTTCATTCCCACCTCTATCACAACCATTACAAGATAATACCAATTTATATTTATATTTTTTTTTAATTCACCACCATGCCAATCGGCACCCAACTCTTCCAATTTCACTACCTGCTGCAATAGAGGTACACTTCCGGCCCCTCTTGGAACCGAAGGGGTTCCTAACGGCATCTATCTCGCCACCATCGCCTCCCTCGGGACACTGTCCAACATGGCACAACTAACAGAATCCTTAAAGCTCGTCCACCAGTTTGCTCCAAGGATGACGCCATCTAGTACCACCTACTACGTCGTCGATGAAGTCGCTGCCAGTTCCGATTTGTTCATGGATTACGCCGTCTAGTACGCATCTCCCTCTTCTCCAGATTGCAGGAACTCTAGAGAAATTTTAGTCACTTTGAACCCATCTGTCATTCCATCGCTAGCGCATTGGTAAGAATGGGGAAAACATTCGAAGATGCTCCAAATTCAGCACCACCAACCTAACGATGCATGCCTTCACCGATATCTCTAATCAAATCCAAGCTTGACTGTCCATTTGTACCGCCTCCCAGATTCAGATATGTTGTTCGCCTGGTCATGCCCCACCACTCACCTGAACCTCATATCTACAGTCCCACACCACCATCAAATATTAAAACAAGGGTGTAGAGCTTGGCGACTTGGCGGAGATCTTGTAGCCGCTTGCCGCATAGATTGAGGATGCCATCGATCTCTGGATACTTGGGATTAATAGTGGAAGAGGACTACAAATTCACCAGAGGGTTACCAATTGGAATCGGAGTAGGTGCAGTGGAGGGTAGATTTCGTTCCGTGGAGATCTGATCAAAATATATGCCCAAAAATTAGAAAAGGGGAAGGGGAAATCGCGTGGAGAATGAGAGAGGATTAGCCAGAAGTCTTTGTTGTATTGCCTTGATATTCTATTTTGGTTGAGGATAATCTCTCTCTGTTAGTCTCTTAAGAGATTTTAGTCTGCTTTAGTTAAGATTCTAAACTAAATACAGACTCTTTGCAATAAAAGTATCAAGTGAATCCACTAGGAGTAAACAAAATCGACTTAACTACGGACTAGCGGAAACATAGCTGGTGATCTTTTTGCATATGAATGTCAATCAAATTTCCTGCTTTGTATTTTAGTTTCAATAATCGACAATACAACCTGTTTTCAAGATAATAGATAGTTCACCGAGTAATGGTATATCTTGGGCCCTGGATTGGTACTTTTATACTTAATTTCACTATACTACTCCCTGATTTGTGGTTGCACTTGGCCACTAATTAGAGTGATAGTAAAAGCGAGTCAAGTTTTTGGCAACGTTGCTGGGGAAGGTTACATTATTAGGAAGAGTGACCATCTATTACTTTGGCTTTTCTTTTCTTCATTTTGACTTTATTCCACCTTTGCTTTTCATGGGCTGTTTCTTCTTAACTTGTGGCCGATTTTAGTGCATGACTCGTAGCCAATCGAGCAACTTACTGTCATTGAATAAAAACATCAATCGTACTCTCTCCCGAACTTGAAGAAGGAGAGAGCGGTCAGACAAGTTCTCTTCCTAGGCGAGGAGATACTAATTCTCCCCCAAGGTCAAGGAGATACAACCTAGCATCCGGCACCCACAGATTGCTGCCAACAATTGCGAGATGAAGCTCGATATGATCTCAATGATATAGAACAACATCTAGTTCCAGGGGCTGCAAGATGATGAACCATGTGAGCAGATAAATTTGTTCCTAGAGCTCATGGACATGATTAAATCGAATGGGGTGCTACATGCTGCCTTCCACTTGCATCTATTTTTGTGGTCCTTGAGCTATAAAGCATGGCATTGGCTCAATCATCAACCTCCACTTTCCATCACATCCTGGCAAGACCTAGTGACCAAATTCATGAACCACTACTATCTACCTTCCAAAACTGCTGAATTGCATAGACAAATCACTCACTTTGCCTAGAAGGAGGATGAGACTCTTCGAGATGCGTGAGAAAGATATTATGTTCTGTTATTGAAATTCCCACACCACTTATTTGATGATCATTTCAAGGTGGGCACCTTCTACAATGCACTCTTCTGGGAAGATTGCCAGCTCAAAGACTCTTCTGCTAGGGAGGAATGCTAAACAAGACCCCACCACAGATGAGTAAGTTGTTTGAAGGGATAGTGTGCATGAAGGTATGACTGGGGAAACCCACATCGAGAAAAAGGGTCAAGAGGAAGAAGAGTAAACTCGGTAGAATTCCGACCTTCTCTGAAGACAAAGATGGATGAGTTGATCACAGCGTTGCGTAAGTCGGATAATTCATCAGGCCCTCCAGTGACGTCACCAGTGATGTAGTATGAATAGTGTCAAAGTCGTAATCATGGATTGGAGGACTATTAAGCATCGCATGATGCCGTTACACCTCAGGAGAATGTGGATTTCATTGCTAATACCAGGAACAATAACATATATAGCAACAACTATAATCCAGGGTCGCGTAATCACCCCAACTTTTTGTGGTCATCACCCACGTACAATAGACCACCCAGATTTCATTGGCCGCCTGTAAGGCACCAGCATAGACCTCCTATCTAGCAGTAGTGAAAGCCCTATCAATTGAAGAAATTCCAACAACAATCTTATCAACAACAAAGTGTAACAGGTGCTTTTCCATCTCAACAAAATAAGATCTCTAAGCGGAGGACTTGTTTCAATCTTTTTCCACCTCGACTTCCCCTGAAGTTTGGAGCTCTTTATAATTCGTGGAGGTTGCTACCGAGAAATTCTCCTCCATCAAAGCCGGGCAGAGGAACCATTACGTTTATCTGCATAACCAGAAGGATATGCTTGGTTTGACCATGGTTCATGGAGTTTGGACGGAAAACTTAACAGAAGGATATGTTTGAGAACATGACAATAGTAGAGGATCAAACTTGATGTGAAAAATTGTAGAGGGGCACGTTTAGAAAAAGTAATGGTAGGGGGCAATTTATACTATTAGCCCTTGTTTTTATAGTGGTATTGGTTTTTCGGAACTACTGGTACCGATTTGGTATTATTTTCGTAGTTTTACCAATTCATATAAACTAGTACTAGTTCATCTGAACGGAGACAAAGAATCAATAAGAAGAAGTCGAGAGAAAGGCATAGAGGTTGGAAAAAAACAGAGAGGCGGTCGGAGAAGTAGAAATGAGAATGTAATTATAGTGATTTGTAACTTTCTAATTTTTCAAATTATAATTCATAAAAATTTATTTTTTCCTACCCAAGTTGTCTTAGAATGCATCAAGGTTCTAAAAGGCGCCAGGCGTAAGGCGCTCGGCTCCTGACTTGCGCCTTGACCGATTAGGCGTAGCCTAGGCGCGCCTAGGCGTTCAGAGCATAAATGGAAAAATTCTCAAATATTTCTTGTTTTCTAGGAATAATTCATATAATCCAACTGCATATAAAATTAGCAATGCCTAGTTCTTAACAGTAAACACTTAACATAACAAATAACAAGCAAATAGTGACCAATCATCTGCTAATAGGTTCTTATAGAGGCAAGAAGCTTGTGCTACGTACCAAGGAGAAGGAAGGAGCAGCAATTGATGAGTTTCGACTTTATTTCCCACTATAGCAGCGAAGTGGTGTGAAGGCGAGAAGAGTGATCGATGGCTTTCTCCTGCGGCGACAAAGGGTAGCAGATGGGGCGAGAGCTAGGGCGGCAGGCGGCAGCAGATGTTATTTCCCGTGTTTCTTATTTTCTAGGGCAAGAGGCAAGTTTCTAATTTTTTAGGACAAAACGAAGAGTATTGGGTATAACCGCCTAAGCTTGCCCAGGAACGCCCAGGCACGCCTTCTCTCCACTAGGCGCAAACTAAGCGCTATTCTTACCTACTAAGCGCTACCGGCGCCTTTTACAACGAATTTTTCAGCTACTTGGCTGGTACGTCTTCATTTGGTTTGTGGTACTCTAGTGAATCTAGTCTTGAATTAGTTGGTTACTCAGACTCAGACTATGCTGGATGCATAGTTGATAGGAAAAGTACTTCTGGTACTTGTCACTTTATGGGCACATCCCTTGTTGCTTGGTTTAGCAAGAAGCAAAACTCAGTAGCTCTGTCCACGGCAGAAGCTGAGTATGTTGTTGCTGGAAGTTGCTGCACTCAGCTCTTGTGGATGAAATATCAATTACTTGATTATGGTTTAGAGTTTGGGTCTCTTCCTGTGTTATGTGACAATACAAGTTCCATTAACATGTCGAAAAATCATGTGCAACACTCTAAAATGAAACACATTGAGATTCGTTTTCATTTCATTCGGGATTTAGTTCAAGATGGAAAGATTCATCTTGAATTTGTGCCTACTTCTTTTCAATGGGCAGACATATTCACAAAACCCTTAGGGTCAGAATCTTTTATTACCATCCGAAGTGAATTGGCGATTTTCTCTCTTCAAGACATTCAGGAAATTCCAGATCATTCCTATCTCTGAGTACTTATGTGCTCCCGTAGCCAATGTGGCTAATTAGCTATTCTTTAGGCTCAAGTCTTTCCTTGATTGCTCTCAGTATATTCTCAATCAATTACTACAAGTTTCCTTTGTAGTATCTTTCCCTTCTTGAACCTTGCCTTCTGAGGCTATAAAACCCTCGTTCCTTCTGGGTTACTTCACTCATTCCCTCAGTTTTAAAATCCCTAGCCTTCCTATTTCACCATGGCTGGTCTCAATCCTCATGTGCCTTTGAATCTTGCTCAAGCTGCAATCTTCACTGGAAAAGGGTTCAACAGTCCTGAAGACTATAATCGGTATCTTCTCAAACTTCAGGATCGTCCCTTATGTCCATCTGTAGCTCTTGATCCTGTCAGATTCAATAGATATGATATGGACATACCTAGGCTGATCAATGCTGTAGGATGGTCTGATTTGCCTCTCGACCAATGCTACAGTTTTCGTCCTGAAGCAGTTCGCATGTTTTATGCAAACATGAGACCCTGTTTTAACACCGATCCTCCTACCTTCACAACCACAGTCTACAACTATCTGCTCACCATCTCAGTTGACCTACTGTCATATCTGCTTAGGTACCCTATTCAAGGAGCTGAAGTTGTGGATGAAGCTGATTTTGCAGCGGTAGATTTCAATGAGAATGAGGCTATGCATCTCTATGCGAGGGATATTGGAGCCTATCATCCCACCAGATTCGATGCTAGGCGTCTGCCTGATGATCTAAAAGTACTGCATTTCTAGATCACTCGAGTTTTCCTTCCTCGTTCTCACGGGCTTACTCGTATCTACCCCATGGATATGTGGATCTTGGCTAGTGCCAAAGAAAACAGACGCATCAGTTATCCTCATCTTATGATGGGTCACATGATGCAGTATTGTGATGACTACTATCACGATGAACTGCCCTTTGCGCCTCAAATCACTCTGCTTATACGTTCCTTGGGTCTTGATCTGCGTTTCAAGGTTGCTCGGGTTGATCTTAATGACTCTCTTAGGGCTCAGTTCGTTCTTCGTAAGGTTCATGCCCTTGTCGGTCGTCGTCGACCTAGTGTTGGCTCTGTCGTTCCTACTGAAGCTGCTGAAGGTGCACCTGAGGAAGGTCTAAGTCTTGCTGATCTGGTGGAAGGAATACCTGAAGAAAAAGGAGCAGAGGAGGCACCTGAAGAAGGAGGAGCTGAGGAGGCTATGTCTGATATCTCAGATTATCTGTCCTCACCTAATTATCCTTTCTGAAGGAGTCTTAAGATGTATGTCTAAGGGGGAGTTAAATAGCTTAGTTATCGCATATCGTCTAAGTAAGAGTCAGGGGTTACAAACCTGCAGTATGGGCTGGGCTGTTCGAATAAAGCTCTGTTGATCAGAGCAAGTGTGTCGTCTCTCAATAAAACTATGTCTAAGAGTTTCGGTGTCCTGGTTTTAAGGTCGTGTCATTGTAGTGCAACTGGTTGCTTTTTTGAAATAAAACTACTCCTCTTAATGTTCCCCTAATCCTTGAGTTTAGTTTACATTAACTAAACCTGCAGTTTAGTTTACAGACTGCACGTAACGTGGGTGCTAGTGTATGCAGGAACGTCTAGAGCAACAGGTTAGAATCATTGACAAGCTGAGGGGGAGAATGTTGAGGGAAGCTTGTCAAAAGGAAAGAGCCTATTGTTCGAGCTGATATCGGAGGATTGATTCGGCTCTCGAAAAACAAGGAAGCTATTCAAAAGACTTCCTTACCAAAATCATCACCGAAAAGGAAACTATGAAGCAACGGCTACTGGCGAAATCAATATAAGAAAGAAGAGAATTATGAAGAAGAGACACTTTTCTGGAGATCAATTTCACGAGAGAACAAAGGAGTTGCTAGCTGAGATTGATAAGAAAAGGGGACTCGAGTATAGGGCAGGAGAGTGCTTGTACTAGAGTGGAGCTGGATAGCTGAGTTGAGTGATAAAGTTTCGATCAATCTTTCTGGATAGGCAGATTGATCTAGGAGAAGAATACCTCTCTGTTTCGGAGCATCAAACATCATACCCTAGTGAATTGTCGGAGATCACAGAACGTGATTATCCGTCCGTGGAGTAGTCAGTATTGGGATCTTCTTTAACCCAATACTGGAAACCACGTAAAAGTTTCTGTGTTCTTTGTTTCAGCACTTTACTATTTGGTTGGCTTTGTTTTATTCGATCTCTGCAGGGCCTGGAAGAATTCCAGAAACAGGGGAACAAACTCAATAGCAGAGGCAAGCTAGGTTCGGCCTCTGAGAGCAAAACGCATCACTTCGGTAAAGAGTTTGTCGAACGAGTAAAGAAAAGTTAGTGGGCTTTTCTTTTGAGCCCAACGTTACAGAAGCAATCTCTTTTAATCAAGTGAAGTGGGCTGTAATCTGTTTGTTTTTCATTCTTGATTCCGTTCACTTCTCTATCTCTCACTTGATCTACCAGAAGATCGATTTAGGGTTTCAGGTAGAAACGAGGTTGAAGAAGAACAGCAACAGTAGGCATCTCGCGCTCGACGCCAACAAGTGGTATCAGGGCTCGGTCGCTGGTCTAAGAAGGTTCTGCAACCTTAGGCGAAATCCAGGATGGCGTCCGGATCCGCAAGTGGAGCTCCATTATATCTAGCTGATGGTTTCTCCCAAAATCGTCCACCTAGATTTGAAGGAGTGAACTATGGCTACTGGAAAAATCGGATGGAACTGTTTGTGGGATCAACAGATCCTAAATTGTGGGCAAGAGTAATTAAAGGGCCGCATGAACTCAAGGCAGATCAAGAAAAGTGGAGTGATGAAGATTACGAAAAATTTCAACAAAACTGCAAGGCCACAAATTTGATGTACTGCGCTCTTGGTCCTGAAGAATACCACAAGGTAGCGGGATGCAAAACCGCAAAAGAAATATGGGATAAGCTTCAAGTGACATACGAAGGGACTTCCCAGGTCAAAACCTCAAGGATAAACTCGCTCAAGCATCAATTCGAGCTGTTTAAGATGGAAGAAGGAGAAACGATTCGTCAGATGTATGAGAGGTTTACTAATATAGTAAATAGTTTGGAGAATCTTGGTAAGACTTACGAGAGTGGAGATCTTGTAAGGAAGATCCTGTGGTGTCTACCAGAAAAGTGGACTCCCAAGGTTACCGCCATCGAAGAAGCCAAAGATTTAGAAAAGCTTGAAATTGATGAGTTGATTGGATCCTTGACAACACATGAAGACAAGTTAACAAAAGTTGGGTCAGAAAAGAACTCAATCGAAAAAGGGAAAAGGGGAATTGCTTTTAAAGCAGTTAGTACTGTAGAAGAGCCAGAAGAACTGGAGGACATGGAAGACGAGGAGCTAGCATTACTGAGCAAGCAGATCAGTCGATTGATTAGGATTAGGAAGGAGAAAAGGATAGGAGGGATGAAGTCCAAAGAATCAGACAGAACTGATGGAGTAGCGAAGCTGGGACAGTTGAGATTGCTAACCAAAGGGAGAAATGAGAATTCGCAAGGTCAAAGAGGGATCAGCTCTACTGGGTGTTTCAAATGTGGTAGGTCTGGTCATATAAAAGCTGAGTGCCCATTACTGAAAAGGGATAAGGCATTCACTGCTACCTGGAGTGGAAGTGAAGATGAAGGAGATGATGATGATGAAGTGACTGTCCATAGGTCATACATGGCCATAGCATATGAGGGTGTGGAAGGAAGGGAACTTTCACTTACAGACATGTTCTCACAGGTAAGTGCTTCTAAACCTGGTGAAATGTTTGACTTAGGTTATGATAGTGATGATGAGATGTTAAGCCAAACAATTAAAGAAATTCAGTTAGAATTCGAAAATGTTAAGGTCAAATATTCGAATTTGAAGAAAGAAAATGAACTGAATCTCAAGAAAATTCGTGATCTAGAGAGTCAGTTGGTCGATTATGAAATTAAGGAAACTGAAAACTCTAGGTTGTTAGTCCTGTCTCAAAAAGAAAATGAAAGTCTTCAGTGGGAGTGCTTAGAATTAAAGAATCAGGTTCAGAGTCTCTCAACCCAACACAGGAGACATAACTATACCAGTAACAGTAAAGATTTTAGCTCAAATTTAGAATGCTTCTATTGCCATAAGAAAGGTCATCTAATAAGAGACTGTGAAAGACGAGTGCGATCAGAAGCTAAGAGAAATAATTTACGAGTTAGAAACCAGCATTATTGGAATACTTATTCATCACAGAAACCCAAGCAGATCTGGGTTAGAAAGACAACATAAATTGTGTGTTTGCAGAGGTGTCTTCAAGTGAGAATGGAGACCTCCAAGTGGATTATGGACAGTGGGTGCTCACACCATATGACGGGTAACAAGTACCTCTTTTCAAAACTTAAATTAGGTAACTTTGTTAAGGTTTACTTTGGAGATAACAATTCTGCTGATGTTATTGGGAAGGGTCAAGTTGGGGTCTGTCCTTTAATTAATAATGTCATGTTGGTAAATGGATTAAAACACAATTTAATGTCGATCAGTCAAATGTGTGGTAAAGGATGTAGAGTAGTGTTTGAACCATCCTATTATCTTGTTGAAAACATGTTAACTAATCAAATTCTGTTTACTGGGAAACGTAATGGTAAGATATATACAATTGATCTCAATGACAAGGATAGTTTTAATGAAACCTGTTTGGTTAGTCTTGATAAAAATATGCAAGAAGACTGGCATAGGCGTTTAGGACATGTAAATGTCAAAACCTTGTCAAAACTAGCTCGTCTAAATTTAGTCAAAGGACTGCCTAACATTAACGAGAAAAAAGAGTTTTTCTGTGATGCCTGTGCAAAAGGAAAGCAAACTAGGTCTAGTTTCAAAACCAAGAATATTATTTCAACTGCCAGGCCTTTGGAATTGCTTCATCTAGACTTATTTGGACCCACTAATGTGACTAGCTATGGGGGTAAAACTTATGCTTTTGTGGTTGTGGATGATTATTCAAGATATACATGGGTACTGTTCTTGAGTAAGAAGGATGAAGCTTTCGAGATGTTTAAAAACTTAGTTAAAATAATAGAAAATGATCTGGGACTAAAGTTTTTAGTATAAGAAGTGATCATGGGGGGGAATTCTCTTCTGATCCGTTTGAAGTGTTTTGTAATGAACTTGGGATCTTTCATAACTTCTCTGCACCTAGAACCCCTCAGCAAAATGGGGTGGTGGAAAGGAAAAATAGGACGTTAATAGACATAGCTCGAACCATGTTGCATGATTATGGGATACCTAAATATTTCTGGGCTGAAGCTATTAACACAGCTTGCTATGTTATCAATAGAGCATTGATCAGGTCTGGGCTGAATAAAACGCCCTATGAAATCTGGAAAGGCAGGAAACCTAATCTAGGGTATTTTCGAACTTTTGGGTGCAAATGCTTTGTTTTAAATTCAAAAGATAACTTAGGAAAGTTTGATGCTAAGTCAGATGAGGCAGTGTTTTTGGGTTATTCTAGCTCAAGTAAAGCCTATAGGGTTTTTAATAAACCGACCCTCAAAGTCGAGGAGTCCATTAATGTGTTATTTGATGAGTCTGCCATGGAGATTTCAGATGAGGTTGATAATGATGACTTTGGTCTTGGGAGACCAGTAGTAGTTGGTTCAAATAATGGTCAGTCAAAGCTTACGTTAGAAGAAAAGGATCAAGAAGGGGTACACCAAAGCCAACAATCAGATGTTGAGGAAAGCCAGGTTTCTGAGTTGTCTGAATCAGAGAAGAGTACTAATCCAGACTCAACTGATTTTCACCCTCCAGCCTACATTACTAGAAGACATCCTCCAACTCAGGTAATCGGATCAATGGACAAAGGTATGATTACTAGGTCAAAGGCTCCTTTCTCACACGTAGCTTTTGTTTCCCAACTTGAACCTAGAAATTTTCATGAAGCACTTCTTGATGAATTTTGGACTGCAGCCATGTTTGATGAAATGCATCAGTTTGAAAGAGCTAATGCCTGGGAACTTGTTCCTAAACCTGAAAACAGGGTAATAATTGGGACTAAATGGATATATAAGAATAAAACTGATGAAGTTGGGGTAATAACCAGAAATCGAACTAGGTTAGTTGCTCAAGGATATAGTCAGGAAGAAGGTATAGATTTTGATGAAACCTTTGCTCCTGTAGCTCGTTTAGAAGCTGTTAGAATGTTATGTGCTTTTGCAAGTTCTAACAAATTTAAGCTATATCAAATGGATGTTAAGAGTGCGTTTTTAAATGGGGATTTGAAAGAAGAAGTCTATGTATCCCAACCTCCTGGATTTGAAGATCACTTGTATCCTAATCATGTATACAAACTTAAAAAGGCTCTTTATGGTCTGAAACAGGCTCCTAGAGCCTGGTATGACAAATTAAGCTCTCTTCTCTTAGTAAATGGGTTTCAGAGAGGAGCAGTTGATAAACCACTTTTTACTAAACGAGAATCAAAGCACTTACTCTTGGTTCAAGTGTACGTAGATGACATAATATTTGGTGGAACTAGTAAGGATATGTGTCTAGCCTTTGAAGATTTGATGAAAACCAACTTTGAAATGAGTCTTATGGGGGAGTTTACCTTTTTCTTAGGATTAAAAATTTCACAAACTCCAAAAGGGATTTTCATTTGTCATACTAAGTATATTCTGAATATGTTAAAACGATTTAATCTCGCTAATCTGAAAACTGCCATCACTCCAATGGCCTCCTCTTTAAAAATTAACAAAGATGAATCAGGCAAGGCAGTAAATGAGAAAATGTACAGGGGGTTGATAGGGTCTCTCCTCTATGTCACCTCTAGCAGACCTGATATTTTATTTAGTGTCTGTGTTTGTGCTCGATTCCAGAGTGCTCCAAAAGAGAGTCATTTGTCAGCTGTAAAACGAATTTTTCGTTACTTGGCTGGTACGTCTTCATTTGGTTTGTGGTACTCTAGTGAATCTAGTCTTGAATTAGTTGGTTACTCAGACTCAGACTATGCTGGATGCATAGTTGATAGGAAAAGTACTTCTGGTACTTGTCACTTTATGGGCACATCCCTTGTTGCTTGGTTTAGCAAGAAGCAAAACTCAGTAGCTCTGTCCACGGCAGAAGCTGAGTATGTTGCTGCTGGAAGTTGCTGCACTCAGCTCTTGTGGATGAAATATCAATTACTTGATTATGGTTTAGAGTTTGGGTCTCTTCCTGTGTTATGTGACAATACAAGTTCCATTAACATGTCGAAAAATAATGTGCAACACTCTAAAACGAAACACATTGAGATTCGTTTTCATTTCATTCGGGATTTAGTTCAAGATGGAAAGATTCATCTTGAATTTGTGCCTACTTCTTTTCAATGGGCAGACATATTCACAAAACCCTTAGGGTCAGAATCTTTTATTACCATCCGAAGTGAACTGGGGATTTTCTCTCTTCAAGACATTCAGGAAATTCCAGATCATTCCTATCTCTGAGTACTTATGTGCTCCCGTAGCCAATGTGGCTAATTAGCTATTCTTTAGGCTCAAGTCTTTCCTTGATTGCTCTCAGTATATTCTCAATCAATTACTACAAGTTTCCTTTTTAGTATCTTTCCCTTCTTGAACCTTGCCTTCTGAGGCTATAAAACCCTCGTTCCTTCTGGGTTACTTCACTCATTCTCTCAGTTTTAAAATCCCCAGCCTTCCTATTTCACCATGGCTGGTCTCAATCCTCATGTGCCTTTGAATCTTGCTCAAGCTGCAATCTTCACTGGAAAAGGGTTCAACAGTCCTGAAGACTATAATCGGTATCTTCTCAAACTTCAGGATCGTCCCTTATGTCCATCTGTAGCTCTTGATCCTGTCAGATTCAATAGATATGATATGGACATACCTAGGCTGATCAATGCTGTAGGATGGTCTGATTTGCCTCTCGACCAATGCTACAGTTTTCGTCCTGAAGCAGTTCGCATGTTTTATGCAAACATGAGACCCTGTTTTAACACCGATCCTCCTACCTTCACAACCACAGTCTACAACTATCTGCTCACCATCTCAGTTGACCTACTGTCATATCTGCTTAGGTACCCTATTCAAGGAGCTGAAGTTGTGGATGAAGCTGATTTTGCAGCGGTAGATTTCAATGAGAATGAGGCTATGCATCTCTATGCGAGGGATATTGGAGCCTATCATCCCACCAGATTCGATGCTAGGCGTCTGCCTGATGATCTAAAAGTACTGCATTTCTAGATCACTCGAGTTTTCCTTCCTCGTTCTCACGGGCTTACTCGTATCTACCCCATGGATATGTGGATCCTGGCTAGTGCCAAAGAAAACAGACGCATCAGTTATCCTCATCTTATGATGGGTCACATGATGCATTATTGTGATGACTACTATCACGATGAACTGCCCTTTGCGCCTCAAATCACTCTGCTTATGCGTTCCTTGGGTCTTGATCTGCGTTTCAAGGTTGCTCGGGTTGATCTTAATGACTCTCTTAGGGCTCAGTTCGTTCTTCGTAAGGTTCATGCCCTTGTCGGTCGTCGTCGACCTAGTGTTGGCTCTGTCGTTCCTACTGAAGCTGCTGAAGGTGCACCTGAGGAAGGTCTAAGTCTTGCTGATCTAGTGGAAGGAATACCTGAAGAAAAAGGAGCAGAGGAGGCACCTGAAGAAGGAGGAGCTGAGGAGGCTATGTCTGATATCTCAGATTATCTGTCCTCACCTAATTATCCTTTCTGAAGGAGTCTTAAGATGTATGTCTAAGGGGGAGTTAAATAGCTTAGTTATCGCATATCGTCTAAGTAAGAGTCAGGGGTTACAAACCTGCAGTATGGGCTGGGCTGTTCGAATAAAGCTCTGTTGATCAGAGCAAGTGTGTCGTCTCTCAATAAAACTATGTCTAAGAGTTTCGGTGTCCTGGTTTTAAGGTCGTGTCATTGTAGTGCAACTGGTTGCTTTTTTGAAATAAAACTACTCCTCTTAATGTTCCCCTAATCCTTGAGTTTAGTTTACATTAACTAAACCTGCAGTTTAGTTTACAGACTGCACGTAACGTGGGTGCTAGTGTATGCAGGAACGTCTAGAGCAACAGGTTAGAATCATTGACAAGCTGAGGGGGAGAATGTTGAGGGAAGCTTGTCAAAAGGAAAGAGCCTATTGTTCGAGCTGATATCGGAGGATTGATTCGGCTCTCAAAAAACAAGGAAGCTATTCAAAAGACTTCCTTACCAAAATCATCACCGAAAAGGAAACTATGAAGCAACGGCTACTGGCGAAATCAATATAAGAAAGAAGAGAATTATGAAGAAGAGACACTTTTCTGGAGATCAATTTCACGAGAGAACAAAGGAGTTGTTAGCTGAGATTGATAAGAAAAGGGGACTCGAGTATAGGGCAGGAGAGTGCTTGTACTAGAGTGGAGCTGGATAGCTGAGTTGAGTGATAAAGTTTCGATCAATCTTTCTGGATAGGCAGATTGATCTAGGAGAAGAATACCTCTCTGTTTCGGAGCATCAAACATCATACCCTAGTGAATTGTCGGAGATCACAGAACGTGATTATCCGTCCGTGGAGTAGTCAGTATTGGGATCTTCTTTAACCCAATACTGGAAACCACGTAAAAGTTTCTGTGTTCTTTGTTTCAGCACTTTACTATCTGGTTGGCTTTGTTTTATTCGATCTCTGCAGGGCCTGGAAGAATTCCAGAAACAGGGGAACAAACTCAATAGCAGAGGCAAGCTAGGTTCGGCCTCTGAGAGCAAAACGCATCACTTCGGTAAAGAGTTTGTCGAACGAGTAAAGAAAAGTTAGTGGGCTTTTCTTTTGAGTCCAACGTTATAGAAGCAATCTCTTTTAATCAAGTGAAGTGGGCTGTAATCTGTTTGTTTTTCATTCTTGATTCCGTTCACTTCTCTATCTCTCACTTGATCTACCAGAAGATCGATTTAGGGTTTCAGGTAGAAACGAGGTTGAAGAAGAACAGCAACAGTAGGCATCTCGCGCTCGACGCCAACATATATAACAGAACATCCCCAGCATAAGAAGAGGAGATATTATCAGTTATCATTATGCGCTATCTAGTCTTTCCTTCCTTCCTTCCTTCCTTCTTTATTATTATTTTTTTTTTTTTGCTTAATAAATTTGGAGTATCTTTTCTTTTTATTATCATTGGTAAAAGGGAAGCCATATATGGTCTGCTGATCACTGCTGTATACCTGTGGATGCATGTCTTCAGTTAGGTTTTGCGCAGAGAGAAAATAATAATAATAATTTAAGTTGTTTACCCCGAGGTTTGGATTTGGATCTATTAGGGGAAATCCTTCATTTTGAATTAACTCTAATCCATGTCAGGGGGAAAATCGTTTATTAATAATAAGGATAACCGCCGGGAATATGGAAATTGATGTTTTTGTAGGCTTGCGAATTCTCAATTTTGTTAAAATGCTCGCAGCCCATTTCTAGAATGTGTTTACAGGTTTCGGATCGTTGAATCAAGGCGTGGACAAGTCGAATAAACTGGGTGGTCATTTTGCATATAATTGGTAACTGCGTCCATCCAACAATTGCATATGATCCAATAATTGCGAGTATATGTAAATATGTTCTAATAGATCAGATGATCAGTAGACACTAAACACTACAGTTGGATCGCTTAATTCTGATCAATAAAATTTGTAAGGAAGTCTGATCAGCAAAATTGAATTGCATGCACATCAGTAACATATTGTTTGGTATAAATGAATTCCATAAGTTTTGAGAAATTCATTTTGAAATGAAATATTTTTGTGTTTGGTATATAAAAGAATTCATTTTCAATTCTAGAATTTGAATTCAATGAAATTGAAGCTAGTTATAACAATTCGAGAAATTGACATGGAGATTATTTATGTGTTTTACTTTAGCGTTATTGCAATACATCGTTATTGCAATACATGGAATCATGTTATGGAATTTTTTTAAGTTCGTTTTTTTTTTTATCTCATTTGCATTACTAATCCTCTATAATGTGAGTTATATATTATTTCAATTTGATGGAAATTAATAAGAGTGTAATTGGAAATTTTAATTTAATTCAATATCAAATGTATATTATGATTTGAGAATTCAATTCATTTATAACGTTTTGAACATGTATGACATAACAAACATAAGAATTCATTTGATAATCAATTTTACACAATAATTCTTTTTAAAATCAATTGAATTATAGATTCATTTCAGACCAAATGATTTGTAAGTCTGTAACATTTATTTTTTGGTTGGTTAGCCTTTCGCTTTCAATTATGAAAGTCAATCAATATTCAATAAGCGTCTAGCTGATTGACTCTTGAGTCTCGAACACCAAATGAAGGAATATATATGTAGTAGATCGAATATTAATGCATGTCTCATCATATACCTAATGAATAAATATAAGCAGGTTTTAGCTAATATGAAAGTGTTCAGATAAATAAAAACCAAGGAACACAGTTTCGTTACAATATGCAAATATACTTTGGTGGATGAGTGAGGAAATTGGGTTTGTTGAAATTTAATAAGCAAACGCCACATCTTCTATACAAAGAGTTTTAAATCGCTTGGGACAAAATACAAAGATAAGTTCGGAAAGTATGTGTTTAGATAATTGAATTGTTAAATTCTTTTTTATTTTATTTTTTTGGTGACAAACGGGCGCTAGGGGCGTGCTAATCCATAACATTAATTACTCGGGCTTCTTGGACCCCGGAAAACATCACCGTTTAACCAAAAATACAAAAGCGGCTCCATATGATCATACTAGGAGCTTCCTACGGGAATCAAATGCCCCTTATTAGCAAGAAAATCAGCTACACGGTTCTGCTCTCTATAAATGTGAGTAATCTTGACCTCACCAAAAGTGTCCAACAGATTTTGAATCTTACGGATAATAGTGGCATGCCTATGCCCCTCCTCGACCCGATTCTGTAAAACTTGTATCACTGCCAGAGAATCCATCTGGAGCTCAACTCTGGAGCGCTAGAGGGACATGATCCTAGTGCGTCGGATGAAATCCTCTTTTAAACGTGTACTTAAATTGGTTGTTTTGCTTCGTTCAAATTGAACTAGTCCTAAAATTCTTCGAAAAGGCAACCAACATAGACTTCCAAATAGAATTTTATGGGTTTAAAGCTGCGCAGCAACGAATCCACCGTAAATGTACTTGCAAGCAAGTCTCCTAGTTTGATTCCTTAAATATAACAAAATATCTTTGCACGGTACACTTTGAATTTAGACATACATGCAAAACTTACTAAGATAACTGTCATTTGCAAAACATTACAAATTTTTAGGAGAATATCATGTGTATAATCTATTTCCATATAACCTTGTATAACCTCCATTTATAGAAACTAGCTTATAATCCGGCCCGTTGGCCGGAATGTTTATATTTTGATATTTAAATTTTTTATGTTACGTTTAAGTCTATTAATTTGTTTAAGTTTATTGAAAATTATTCAATCGAGAGTCTACACAAAGAATGAATATATAGGTCGAATATTCAGGAAAATACCCTCCTCATTTAAGAATATAAAAATGTATCATTAATCCCATTTTCATAATGATAATTGAGCCCCCATTAAAATGATATTGCTTAATAGATTGTCCAGAAATATATAATATAAAAGCTCATTGTAATTCTCACACGATCCATAGATAGTTTGAAACTGAAATGAAACCTCACAATCCCACATAAATTGTTCAAAGCTCTCCTCTATGAATAACATGCCACTAATAAAAAGGAAATGGATTTATAATAATAATAAAAAAAAAGAAATGAAGAGTTGTTGATTCAAGTAAATCATATGCTAACAACTCAACTAAAAGGAAACCATCAAAACTTGAAAGCAAATGAAAAAATTAGAGTTACATCCAATATGCTAATAGACTCGATCAAAGTAATGAGCACAAATTTAGACACTCCTTATCTACAGGTTCCAGTAGTTTGAATAGTGCTCGACCTTAACTTTAGTAAATCAATCAATGATTCCTCGTTTTAACATAAACATAGGTTGTGGTAGTTGCAACAACCATAACACCTAAAGATCCAATAGTTTCTACTCTCCGTTGTACAACCAACTTTTTATCCCCTCCATCTTCAATCTCTCGACGTATATGTTTTAAACCAAAAATCAATTTTTAATCCTCCTTCTACAACTCCATTTATGCTACTTTGATGGACCTTCTCTCCATGAACCTGAATTTCTCTTTCAATTGAGTTTATTGTCAGTTTGATCTCCAACTCCTAATTCCTCTTTCTTGTATTTGGCCAACTCATCTTCCTCGGGCCAGTTTTAATAAGCTCGTAAAATCGACACTCATCTTCAATTCCATCAATATGCTTTTCTCCTCCTTCTATGCCTTCACCTGATCCAGTTCACTTCCATGCCCTTCAATACCCTCTCCATTTTCATTAATATCCTGATCATCTACCACTTCTCTCTCTTCAACTGCTCCGATTTTGCTTCTATGTCTTTCAATACCCTCTTTGGTTCAATCACTACCCTGACCAACTGCCTCTTCACTGCCTTCACTTGTTGCAAACTACTTCCATGACTTTTATACACCTTCCTCAAAATCACAATCAACTAACCAATATCAATCCATGGCCTTGGATCAGTTTTAGACTCTCTATGAACATCTCAATACCACCAAGTCTAAATCTAAATATTCTTTCAGTTAACATGAACTTGAGTTTATCAAAATCTAATCCACTCCTTCTAAGTTGGAATTCCCATCCCCAAGCTCATTTTTGGTTCATTTGATCATGCATAACCATGATATTATACCTCTAACTAAATAAATAAAAGCATTTTACGAAAAGAAACTGAACCATGAACTTTACCTGCTACCAAATCCAAACACAATTTCTTCCCCTCACCACTTCCCTTAATCCCTTCCCAAACCCAATATCAACTTTTACTCCAAGTACGCACCCCCAACTCCCAGTGTGTTGAGTGAAAGCTTAATTTTAGCAATCATTATGCTTGCAATTAGATTAATGGACACCAGCAAACGCCAAAATTCCACCAGATGATGAGTTGTCTTCACTTTGAGTTTTGTCATAAAATTGTTGGCCCCATATGTTTATCAGTTTGGAGGCCATATGAAGAGCAATACTGAATAAGTTGCAGCGAAGTTACCGGTCACAGTAATGACAATGTGAAACATGTGTTAACAAACGCGAATATGGGTTACTTTTATGGATTGACATTAGAATGATGGGATTGGACAATGAGATCGTCCTTAGTTAAGCGACATGTAAATTGGCCATTTGGTATGGAGGACACAAACCGTTAAAATTCTAAATTATTTGGGTAAGTTTGTATTTAGTGTTTTCAAAATCGTGGGATATGAGTTAGGTGATTAAAATATCTAAACCCGAATGAACCAACCCACGCACACCCCTAGGAAGAGTTTCAAAACTTAGTATTTATCCGGACAAAAATGTTTAGAGAACCGGTCTCCTATAGTTTGCATAAAGATATGATTGCTTCACTATAGTTATGGAAATTAATGATAATTTAAGAATTCTATATCGCTTCTACATATTCAATACTATAATTCGATATGAAATATTGGAACCAACAATATTTTGGTTGGAAATTTATGGTTATTGTCTATTTATAATATAGATAAAATTTAAATTAAGTATTAAACTATAATTAAATAAAAATATCAAAATTTAAGTATCAAACAGTGAAAACACCAAATAAGTACTTACGGAATATTTATTGGGCTAGCTAAATGTTATAAAGTTTTGTGATTTCATATTTTAGATTCGTATATATTTTTAATTTAAAAAAATATAACAAATCTACATAGTCTGATTGATTTTAAACCTTTACTTTGTTTGAAGTGACCATGGTTCAAATCTCAATATGTCTATCTTTTTCTGTAAATAAATAAAAAAATACAGATAATTGTGAAGACAAAAATGTCCTTCCTAATTTCGTTCTCATTGCAGCAAATTGGAAAAGGGAGATTAAGTTTCAAATAATTAAATCATATACCCTAAACCTATAGAACTTAAACCCTAATATCACATATACTAAGAACATAATCAATGATTCCGATTCGCCAAGATGTATACAACATATCTTATGCACTATATTAGGATTTAGAGAATTATGATATAGGGTTTAGTTACGTGATTAATCTATGGTCCAGATAATGTTATTTAACTAAGGAGATGCAATAACCCTCAATCCATCGAGCGTACCATATAATTCCCAATGTATATACACATACCATTGTTTGTTAAATTTAGCCAATGATAATTGGCTCATTTGTCAATGGTATTTAGTCTTTCAATTCTATGCTCATAATTCTCAACTATTAGGGAAATTGTTAGCCAATGATTTTTGGTCATTCACTTGTAGCATTGAAAATGTCTCGTTACAAAATCATAGATCACAAATGTCAAATTTTATGTTTTGAAATAAAATTTTGTATAGCACTTTTGTAAACAATCCTTGTATTCCTACAAACTGCAAAGTCATGTAACCTAATAAATGTAAAAGTTGTAAGACATACATAAACTCAAAATGTACTATTTGATTCTTGGTGAAGAATTGTGTGATTAGAAGAACTCACTTAGTTGATTCATAAAGCTAGGTATATCATGATGATTCACTTTGTAAATAATTATAATTATTAATTAATTCTATGATTGATTGTTGCGGTGGATAGTCCTATGATTTTGAGATATTTCAGTATTTTGTCTCTTTAATTCAAAAAATACATAAACATTGTTGTAGTCCAGTTGGTTAGGGATATTGACTGTCAATTTGAAGGACTCGAGTTCAAGTCTTGGTATTGACATTTTTTTTGAGTAGTTGCTGGGACGTGTGTACTGATTTCCCAAATAATAAAATAAGCCCCAAAGTGGAATAATTTTCTTTCCACAATTGCCCCTAGCGACAATGAAGGAGAGGCCAAGGATTTCAAAATGGAGAAAATTAGCTGAAGAACGGTTATATATTATAGGAGGATGATATGATTCTTATTATAGTAATACAACGTGTCTTCTTGCCATAATGGTAAGAATTGTATCAGTATCACCATTGGTATGCAAAAGTTATATGGTATTTTGCACAAATCAGATATATGCACCCAATTCTCTCTTCCAATTTATCACCGTTTAATATTATTCGATAAGACTTAATCCCACAAATAAATAATTTTGTATGCACTTAATTAAGATTGAACATGCACAGAGTAAACCCCACATATTATAATATTGGCAGTATCACTTCTTAAGCTAATAACATTTACAAGGAACATTACAATGTGCTCTATATATGTAGATCAAGTCCCCACCCGCAAACCCATACAAATATTTTAATAAGCATCGGAAGAACCCCCCTCAACCGCATTCATAATTGTTCCTAACTTCATTATCTCTCAATCATCAATCCATAAACAAAAAGGATGCTTAGTTTTTGTCCAAGTTTGTACTTAATTAGATATCTCCCTTAATGAATTGAGGACTGATTAGTAATTTCCCCCACCACATAACTCGAATTTGTTCTTTGCATGTACGGCTAGTCCTCTATTATAAATACACCACTGGCAAAACTCCCTTCTTTCATCTCCATCTCCTCCCCCACAAAATAGAAACTAGAAGAAGAAAAGCCATCGAAAGAGAGAGAGAGAGAGGGAGAGAGAGGAGATAACAATGGGGAACAGCTTGAGGTGCTGTTTGGCGTGCGTGATTCCCTGCGGCGCACTGGACTTGATCCGGATAGTCCATCTGAACGGGTACGTGGAGGAAATAACCCGACCCGTAACCGCCGGGGAGATCCTGCAGGCCAACCCCAACCACGTCCTCAGCAAGCCTTCCTCACAGGGAGTCGTCCGCCGGATCCTCATCCTCTCGCCGGACTCCGAGCTCAAGCGCGGCGGCATTTACTTCCTCATCCCGGAATCCTCCTTGCCCGACAAGAAACGGCCCCGTACAAAACGCAGCAGTAGCAGCAGCACTCTCAAAAAGTACTGTACCACCGACCACGATAACAGCAAGAACAATGATGACCATCACGCTTCGGTTAGACACCACTGCGATCGGTACTTGACGGAGACGACAATCTCCGAGGAGGAGAAGAAGCAAGATTCGACGCCGTCAACACGGCGTCACAGACGGACTGGGACGGGCAGATCTGGAGTGTGGCAGCCATATCTAGACAGCATCACGGAAGACTCGTAAATTTAATGTACTGGGCCCCACTTTCCCCCTCGATCTTCTTCTTTTTTCCGCCTCCCGGTCTCTCTCCGGTACCGGGATCTGAGCCGGAGACGGACGTAGGTGGTGGTGGGGATTCGGTTTCTTTTTTTAACCTCTCCTTTTTTTTACTGTTACTGTTACGGTGATGGGGAGGAGGGTTGATTGGGATTTGTGGATAGCTTCATATATATTTTTTTTTTGTGTTGGCCTTCACGAGGGATATGTTAATTTTTGGTTTTCTTGTTTCGATCTGCGAATAGTAAAATGGCAGATCCGAGGATTGATTTTATTTCTCTTTATACAGTTCATGATTATGGTCAACGGTCGAGAAATGAGGAAATGAAATGTACCGAGAGTCCAAGACACTGTAAATAAAATGTGTGTTGGTTATCCTTTTTGACAAACTTCTATTCTTCCATGGATGTGGATCTAGGTGGCTCATTTTACGAAAATAAACTCATGAGATTGAATTTTGTATCGTTTATCATATGTTAGGTTTAAAGCAATTATAAATATTAGGAGTTTTATTTTTAATAGAATATTAGGAGTTGTGGAGTTTTTAACACGAATTCTCGGCCAAATCAGATTTTGATACCATATCATAAATAGTTTGATCCCTCTAACGGATTAAAGAAACATTAACTCTGAATCATATACATGCACTCTCTTACCACTTAAATTAGTAACAAAATTAGAAATTTGAGAGATTTAAACCTGGGTGATCAGAAAAATTAGGATGAAGTCTTATCAATTGTTTTATATTTTTTTTTATAATTTCTTACAAGTTTACACTTTTAAGTTTTAACATGAATGTTAAGTGGGTCATGTCTCCCTCAACTATGAATATCTGCGCCACTAAGTAAAATGGTTACGCCAATCAAGAAGGTTAAGAGTTGCAACTATGCTTATATTGTCCATTAAAAATGTCCAAATTTAAATTGAGGCTGGTGGTGTTAGCCTAGTTGTTAAGAGACCATTTATGTGGAGGCTATAACGTGAGTTATAATCAAGTATATGAGCTTAAGGTTTTTGAACTCCAAGAACTACTATTGAGGCAACAATCGAGGAGGGATATTTTTTGAACCGCGGGACATTACAAGAAAGAAGTATTAGTTGGTTGAAGAGACAGATCTATTGTGTACGTTACATATATACTGAAATTGTAACTTGTTCTTCCCGCGCGCATAAAATGTCCTGGCATAAGAGGAAACGGAGTAATTAGCCAATTTATCTGAAGTAGTTAGATTTAGGGGTGTCTATATGGTCTGGTCCCGTCCGGTTAAATTGGTACGAATTGATCTGGTTTCGGTTCGGAATTTTTGAGAATATAAGGACTAGATATTGAATTGGATACAGCCTGATCTTGAACCGGTTCGATCCCAATTCGGTCTTGATTTTAGATTGAGCTTGTAGGGATTTGAGTGGCCTGAGCCCTGAGGCCTAAAAGGGCGAGGAGGTTAAATTTTGGGTGTTGGGCTCTCTTATCTGGTCTTTATCCGGTTTTTGGTCTGGTTCCGAACGGTTTTTTACGTTAAATATAGGCCCAAAAATGAGATTGGATTGTTTGCTCTCCGATTTCGGTCCGGTCTCGGTCCGAGTTATATGGTCCGGTTTCAGCTAAAACCAAAAAGGCTGGACCAAATAGCACCCATAGTTAGATTGGGGAATGCCATCGAAATGTGGATGAATATGTTGATGAAAAGCTTTATTCTAGATTCGATTGACAAACTTTTTGGTAATGTACATTCAGTGTCACTTACGTTGTTCGTTCAATGCTAACGAGATAAATATGTTGATGAACAATATTTTTCTAGATTCGATTACGGGGCTGGGTATCATCCTCCGCATTTTGACACGCTCGGGTTAATCACCTTTTGATATTTTATTTTAAAATTCTCAAGGATCAATCTTGGCATGATTTTATAAGGATTCAATAAGTACAACATTAATTCATTCAGATGTGTCAATTGGGCAAATGCGTTCATAATGACTTCTAAAGCAGAGATATTAATATTACAAGGAAGCTGCAAAATAGAAATAGCAGACCTTTCCATCACAAGTCTCAATGAACTCATTACTTACTATGGAGATTTATCGCCTTTTTTTTAATCGTAACTTCCATTTCAGAAACCCAAGAAAGAGTTACCTTTGAGTGGATTTAGGCGAAGATAATTATGTCAATAAATATTTCTTGTGAATATTTCTTGAAGTCGCAAACTATTTCAGTGATTAACATTGATGTTAGGTAATATTCATTAAGTCCACCACTTGTTAATTTACTTGCTTCTATAGCTAGATTATTGTCATGGATTCTCTGCGTTTCCAACTAATTCAAGCCATTTCTTTTTGCGCACATCTGCCCCTAGTCTTGCTTATAATTGTGCTGATGTGAATATTTTTATGGAGAGAGAGAGACTTATGCCGCTTAAAGTGGCGACCAGGCTGTGATTACTTGAATTTGGTACATAAGAACCTGTTCACGTGTGACTTGTAAGATTTTAATATGAGAATTGAGAAATTTTACAATGCTATATAGTTTCGGTGCTATAGGGTTTTGCTTTTATGGTACAATATAAAATTGTACATTTACGTTATGGTACAACTTCAGATTGTACCTATACTTTTTATATAAATTCTTTTATGGTACAACTTGAACTTGTACCTTTATTTGATGGTACAACTTCAAGTTGTAAACTTGTTGTTATAAACGCGCTGCTACGGATCGGGAAATCGCCGGAATCGATAAAGCAAGATTACGAAAGAGAGAATCGAAAAACACAGACAGTATTTATAGTACTTCTCCATGTGGGTCTAAACCTAATCCAATCTGGCAAAGGAAACGGATACAGACCAGGCCCAGAACCCGATCCCAAATCGTAGCGCCTGATAGTCCGATTAGTCCGATTCAAGTCACATCAACAAATCTCCACCTTGACTTGAATCCTCTTCCTCTGAAATCACTGATGTACTCTGCTCCTTCTCTCTCTCTCCCGCCATCAATGCCCCGCAGGGAGGAGTCACCCACTCAAGACATTCAGCAAGTCCAAGCAGTGTTGGAACTTGCCATGTGGAACCGGCTTCATGAACATATCAGCAGGATTATCCGCGGTGCCAACCTTCTTCACCTTAATCCTCTTCTCTGTCCTCAAGAAATGATACCTCACGTCGGTGTGCTTAGTCCTCTCATGGTGGACTTGATCCTTGGCCAAGCATATTGGACTCAAACTGTCGCAATACACCACTGCCTGATCATGATGTAGACCCAGATCACCAACCAGTCCATTCAACCATATTCCTTCCTTAGCAGCTTCTGTCAACGCCATATACTCTGCCTTAGTAGTAGACAATGTCACCGCCGACTGCAAAGTTTCCTTCCAGCTCACTACAGAACTCCCAAGAGTGAATACATAACTGGCCATCGATCTCCTCGTGTCAACATCTCCAACATAGTACGAGTCAGAATACCCAGACACCAAGCACTCTGTATCACTTCCGAAGCTAATTCCCACATCAGGTGTATCCTTAAGGTACCGGAAGATCCTCTTCACAGCCTGTCAATGCTCCTTCCCAGGTTATATCATAAACCTGCTGACAACACTAACAGCATGTGCAAGATCAGGTCTAGTGCATACCATAGTGTACATCAAACTACCTACTGCATTAGCATATGAGACTCTCGACATGTACTCCTTCTCAGCCTCTGACTGCGGTGCATAAGCTGAGGATAGATGAACATTTGAAGCATTAGGAGTATTTAAGGGCTTTGCTGAAGACATGCCAAACCTCGACAATATCTTCTGGATGTAGCTCTTTTGTGACAAGAAAAGCTTCTTCTTCGACCTGTTCCTGTAAATCTCCATACCCAAGATCTTCTGAGCAGCTCCTAAATCCTTCATCTCAAACTCAGCACTGAGAAGCCCATTTAACTTCTGGATATCAGATTTCGACCTCGCATCTATGAGCATATCATCCACATACAGAACAAGATAGATCATCGAACCATCCTCCACCTTGTTGTGATACACACAAAAATCATATGGACTTCTGCTGTAGCCCAACTCAAGCATGTAACTGTCAAATCTCCTGTACCACTGCCTCGGAGATTGCTTAAGTCCATACAAGGACTTGTTCAGCTTACAAACATAGTCTTCTTTTCCGCGGAACCTCAAATCCTTCTAGCTGAGTCATGTAAATTTCTTCCTCCAACTCTCCATGTAGGAAAGCTGTCTTCACGTCTAGCTGCTCGAGCTCCAAGTCATAATGTGCCACTATTGCTAGTAGCACTTTGATAGAAATATGTCTGACCACTGGTGAGAAAATCTCATTGTAGTCAACTCCTTCCCTCTGCGAGAAGCCTCGTGAAACCACCCGAGCTTTAAATTTCATGCCCTCTTTAGAAGTGATTCCTTCCTTCTTCTTGTAGATCCACTTGTTTGTAACAATCTTCCTTCCCTGTGGTCGTTTGACTAGCTCCCAAGTCTGATTCCTGTCATGGGATTCCATCTCATCTCCCATTGCGGCAAGCCACTGATTAGCTTCGCCATCCGAAACGGCTTCTCTATAGGACTGTGGCTCACCTGCATCCACTTCTTCATCAACCTGAAATGAATACGCCACCATGTCCTCGAAACCATACCTCTGTGGAGGTACTCCTGCAGTCGCTCTCTTTGGTCTACCGGAAGCTATAGACTGTTGAGCTCCTGCCCTGGACTCTGAAGTTGTTGTCTCTGCAGAGACATTCTCATCATGTTGATCTTCTCCACCTTGGTGCTCAAACTCACTCTCATTGAGAGTTTGCAGCTCCACCTGCTTATCAACATTCCTGCTACCTTCAACAACAGTAACCTTCAACATGGGGTTAAACATAGACTTCTCATCAAATATCACATTTCTGCTAAGTATAACCCGATGCTCAGAAGGTGACCAGACTCGAAATCCCTTAACTCCATCTCCGTAACCCACAAGTACACCCTTCTTTGCCCTTGGGTTCAGTTTACCCTCATCCACATGATAATAAACAGAACACCCTAAAACTTTCAGTGAAGAGTAATCAGCAGACTTATCATACCACACCTCATAAGGAGTCTTCAACTCGATACATGTGTGAGGTCCACGGTTGAGCAGGAAGCACGCCATGTTCACTACTTCTGCCCAGAATCTTCTCTCTAGTAGTCCAGCATTAGAGAGCATGCACCATGCTCTCTCCAACAATGTCTGGTTCATCCTTTCTACAACGCCATTCTGCTGGGGTGTATCTCTCACAGTCCGATGACGGGCA